TATGGTTGTTACTGAAATTAGAAAAGCAAAAACTAGGTATTACGACGAGGAAATCGATCAAAATAGAAGAGACAGTAAAAAATTGTGGAAAACGTTGAAAAAAGTAATGAAAGGATCACTTGAGACTGAATTGCCAGATAAATTGACTATTAAAAATGGAAGGATAAAAGGAGATAAAAACATTGCGAATAAATTTAATAATTATTTTGTCGATAGTATTAAAGAAATTGCTAATAGTATCAAGGACACAGAAATAAAAATTGATGATATGAAATACACCGATAAATCGTTGAAAAATTTTCAAATCATTTTTGCTGAGGATTTTGATAAGATCATAAAAGCATTATCGAACAAGAAATGGAGAAGTGAAGGAATCTCAACTAAAATTATGAAATTAATAAATAAATCGATAGGATCAACCATACGTGGAATTATTAATGAATCACTGATAAGAGGTCACGTCCCAAATGGATGGAAACACTCAGAGATCAGACTAATTCAGAAAATTCAAAAAACTACAAAAATTGAAGAATTTAGGTCAATAAATATGCTTCTGCATTATGACAAAGTTTTAGAAAAAATAGTTGCAAAACAACTAACGGATTATTTTGAGAAAAATAATTTATTCATAGAAGAACAATATGGATTTCGGCAAGGAAGATCTTGTGAGAATGCGGTTCAACAAACGATATCAGAGTGGAAAAAAAATATTACTAATGGAGATATTGTAGGAGCTGTATTTATTGACCTAAAAAGAGCGTTTGAAACCGTTGATCGTGGAATAATAATGAATAAAATGAGAAAGTATGGTATTGAAGGTAGAGTAATGGATTGGTTTGAATCTTATCTGAAACATCGAACTCAGTCGACGTATTATAGATGTAAATCGGAAGTGGTTGAAGTTCCAATAGGTTTACCTCAAGGATCAGTACTTGGGCCTTTGTTGTTCCTACTATACATCAATGATATAACCAATATCTCTCTCCCTCTCTCCCTCTCTCCCCCTCTACCGATTTGATTTTAGATGTTTTCACGTTTTCAGAATAAGAAGCTTACAATTTTAAAGAAACTAGAAATTTTACTGTCGGAAATTTAACAAAATTATTATGAATGATTTTACATTGATTATTCGGCTTTCAATAATTGATGTAGATTTACAATTGCATTGAAAAATTCGGTAAATTAATGATTTGATCACCGGCAATGAAACTCTATGGCACTACTTTCAATTAGCCTACCTTCTCTTACTCTTAAATAACTAATAAAAGATCTTGCAAAAGTTGAAGAGTTTCAATAATTGGGCCGGTATTTTTTTTTTCATTTTAAGGCATTTTAAACCATTTGGTTTACTCCGCCATCTATTCTCTACCTAACCTTGCGGATGTTGCCGACTTGCTACACTGTACAGCATTTGCTCCCCCGAGAGAGACGAAGGAAACCACAGAAAACCTCCGTCGGTACAGTCGATTCCTCTATTAGGAACCTCCCGCTCGTCCAGAGCCGAGGTGAGATGGACCCCACCAGAATCCGCCCCAGGCGAGCCCCTTAACCCCCTTTACCGGAAGTTAAGGGTCCCCCCCAGTCGGGATCCGAACCCCAGCTACCCTTTCGAGCCCCCAACCCCTGTTTCCAGAAGTTAAAAAATCCGACCGGACTGGGATTCGAACCCACGACCTCCTAGTGGCCAAGCCGAACTAACGATTTAGCCACCGCGACCATTGGACTTCGGTATTGGGTCGGTATGAAATGCGAAATAAAATATTGAAGGTCCCTTATATGTAAGAAAATAGACTATTCCCGATTTAAAGGTGAAGTATCACTTCGCAAACACACCCGATAGCTCTCTACTATTGATTCGGTACCTTGCCGCGCATTGTATCGACTGAAGCGAATTATTATACGAGAAGAATCACGAAGGGAGATCGATTTTGTGAACATTTTCTACCAGTAGTTCAATAATTCGGCGATCACGAAGAAATTTAAATTTCCTTTAAGGGAGGAAAGACCGTTTTGACCTTTACACGGAACCCCTCCGAAAATGCACGTTTGAGTACCGTACCCCGCCGTCTGTCAGACCGTTACTTCCCCGAGTGGAAATTGCTTCAGGTCCGCCTGAAGTATGATCAGAACTTGATCTAGTTTTCGTAAGATTTGACTGATCAGGTCATTTCTGATGAGAACTTGACCAAGTGTTGATCTAGTGGATCGGATTCCAAAAACTACCGGCGAATTCAGATCAAGTTCTGGTCAAGTAGGCATCATCAGGTGACGCCTGATGAGAACCTGACTAAGTTTTGATTCAGTCGATCGGTTCCCAAAAACTAACGGCGAGTTCAGATCAAGTTCTAGTCAGGTAGGCATAATTAGGTTACGTCTGATGAGGACCTGACCAAGTTTTGATCCACTCGATTGGATCCAAAAAATTTCAGACGGGCTCAGATGTAGTTCGGATCAGGTAGACATGATCTGAGTCTGAGGTCAGATTACCTAAACCCAATTAGATCCGATTCGGATTTGATGCAATTGATTTTCATTTGAACGGGGTTAATGGAAGAAAAATGATAAGGTTCGGATCCGGTCTACTTGATCTTATTTTGAACAAACTTTTTCCGAGGATCAAATTTTTAATTAATTAAAATTTTTAATTAGTTTTAATTCATATTTCAATTGATTGTTCAATTAATTTTTAATTAATTAATTGCGCAGAGAGAGGGAGGGGCAGCTCAATGACTACATATAGTCGAAGTGTCACACTCACAAGCAAATTATCTTGACTAGAGAAAAACTTATCAAGCTCCCATTTGTTCATTAGTGTTGTGATTATCAGGATTATTATCCATTAATGAAATGGATAAAATTTTAACTAAACAAATGTTCTCTCTCTGAATATATGCGCAAATCAGCGGGATCATAAGTAGTCTCAAAGTCACCAAATACCCAGATACAGATCATATAGGCAAAACGGAGTCCCCGTAATAACAATAGCGCGATAGTCTAGTGGTTAGGGCTTAGGATTAGTAATCGTGGGTTCCCCGGCTCGATCCCCACCATCGGAAAAAGTACGAAGGTTTTTTCAACGGTAATTACGGTAGGGATTCATTAGGAGAGGCCATCTATCGTGAAATTAGTGGATTGGGTTGTTGGTCGCTCGCTGCGCTCGCTCCCATTGCGGGTGGGTTGGTAGCAGATGTATTCATGTGGGTCTGACCCGTCGGACGGGTTGCACCAACAAGTTCCCGATATTATTATTCCTCCCATTTTGACTAAAAGAATCCTTTTCAACTCTCAATACTCTGTTTATTGAACTGCCTAGTTTATCGACAGCTACAGAAGTGTGGAGATTAAGAAAATAATCCTTATCCAACGCCAGCTAAATAGGTGATCTCACGGCAAGAAGGCGCGCGGGAGAAAATAGATGAAATGAGTAAACTATCTCTCTTCAATCTGAACATGTTTGCTTGGATGCGTTTTTTTAAATCGGGGATATTTTCCGGAAAATCTGGGCTTCAAATGTGACATTCAAATGCGTACAGTGTCCTACATTGTATTACCTCTAATGTCCTATTCAGACGATTTTCCCTCAATAATTGTAGTATACTATTACAACCACATAATAACCTCATGGATATTTTAGAAAAATTACTGGAGTGGTACATTCCAGTCATATTCTGATATCGATAATCTAAATCACATCATTTATAGGGGAGGGTGCGGCAAAATGGACCGGTGGGGCAAAATGGAACGACGGGGCAAAATAGAACGCGGGGCAAAATGGAACGGTATAAAAACCGAATATAGAGCGAAATTCAGACAACTTTTTTTTCACCTTATGTGAGCTCAAAAATGATGATTCGGGGTTCAGTCACTGACATCAGTCTACTCTGTAGTTATCGCTATCTTGTAATCTAAGGGAGATAGGAGAATTTCGATAAGGACCTTTTTGTAGTGAATTTCAAGGGCTATAAAAAAGGTCTGTTTGGAGGCAAAACTGAATTTAGGGTGGATTGGGAAAGGGGTAGTGGAAATGCCGGTGAAAAACGAACGCACTGAGTCTGTAAAAATTATACTGATTTATTCGGTGGAATCGAACCACCTTAGCGTCACTTGTTACACTCTGTTAATTATCACTTAAATTGATTCAAACTGTTCTGAATTTAACACTGGAGATTTTCTGAACAATATACTGAATAATAGGAGACTGTACTGAGAATTTAAATAGGTGATGTACTGAGAAAACAAAATGTCTCGAACGGGTGATGTACTGACGCTGTTCGGACAACCGAAAGTAGCTTTAGAAAAACGATATACTGTTCGCTCAACTCAGTTGCTACGACTCTCTACGACTGACTGACTGTAACTGACTCTGAGATTCGGTGATTGACTAGGCCTGACCGTTGACCCGAGGTTTCCCGAAGATTTTCGTAAGTGGCCGATCTGTGGTCAACCGTTGATATACTGAATTTTGACTGCGTTTCAAACACCCCGGGGGCATTCAACATCAGGTTGTTGAATTACTGGATCTGGTTTCTGCTGGTCTGGTTCTGCTGATGCTTGCTAAGGGGAGAAAAACAGGGTGAGAGACGTATCACTTGCCAAATTAAAAACATATGGAAGATGATACTTAACTCTCAGTCCTGCAGTTCCTGGATGTCCCCTTGCTGTTGATCGTCTTCATCATCTGGGTGATCTTCTTCTGGAGGTTGTTCTGGTGTAGGTGGGTCTGTAGGAAGCAGACAGAGCTTGGTGATTGGTCTGTTAAACACCGAGTGGGCTGCTGTGATGTTCTGGAGATTAGGCGACCCATCTTGATGTCTGCCGACTTCTGCTTTGCTCGTTCTGACTGTGGCTACTCTGGTGAGCCCATCTGCTACTGGTCTAGTCGCGATGACTCTGGCGATTGGCCACTGGGCTGGTGGAAGGTTATCGTCGACCATCAGCACCATGTTACCAACCTCGATGTTCTGCTGGCGTGTCTTCCACTTGTAGATAGCCTGGTATCGTTAGAGACACTCTTTGGACCACCTGGACCAGAACTGTTGAACTATCCGTGTCACGAGGTTCCATCTCCTCATCTTGAGGGGATTCTCGTCGACGTAGGATGACTCTGGTACTATCTGTAGAGGCTCGCCGATTAAGAAGTGTCCTGGGGTGAGAACCTGAAGATCTTCTGGGTCGTCTGACATCGGACAGATTGGCCAGGAGTTTAGGCAGGCTTCAATCTGAACTAAGACTGTGTTGAGTTCCTCAAATGTTAGCGTTGTCGTTCCCAGGACTCTCTTGAGGTGATGCTTCGTTGATTTTACTGCTGCTTCCCATTTGCCACCAAAGTGGGGTGCTCTAGGTGGTGAGAAGCTCCACTGAGTGCCATTGGTGGCGAGAGCAGCCTGAACACGTTGATTTTCTTTAGATGCTTGGTGATAGAGCCTTTCGAGTTGATCTGCTGCTCCGACGAAGGTGGTGGCGTTGTCACTGTACATGACTGCTGGAATACCTCGTCTTCCGGTGAATCTCTTGTAAGCTCCGAGGAAGGCTTCTGTGGTTTGCCTGTTGACGAGCTGTAGGTGAACTGCTGACGTGGTGAAGCACACGAACACTGCGATGTGCACTGATCCCGGTTGAGCATTCGTGGGTCTCCATTTGAGGATGGCAAAAGGACCTGCATAGTCGACCCCCGTGTGGAGAAATGCTCTTGCTGGTGAGACTCTGGTTGCGGGCAATTGTCCCATCTGTTGCTGAGCCTGTCTAGCTCGGTGTCTGGCGCAGATAGCACAGCGTAGGATATAGGCTCTGACTGTGCCCCTGCCACCGAGTATCCAATAGCGTTGCTGAGTGTAGGCCAAGGTGAGCTGTGTCCCTCCGTGGAGGGTCTTCTGGTGAGCTTCTGCGATGACGAGTGTGGTGAATCTGGACTGACGTGGCAAGATTATTGGGTGGATCTGTTCTGGATGGAGTTCTGAGTTCTTGAGGCGTCCCCCAAGTCTCATGATGCCCTCCTCGTCCAGAGTTGGGGTGAGTTTCGCTAACTGGTGATTTCTAGGTAGTTGTTGATTTCTGAGAAGTACCCTGAGTTCTGAAACAAAGTACTGGTGTTGTGTTATTTTTACCCAAAATAATCTCGCATCGTTGAGTTCTCTGGTCATCAAGATAGATCCCGGGGGCATTGGCTGCCTCCTGAATCTGTCGATGGCCCTGTTGATGGTCACTGTTACTGCTAACAGCCTTGCCATCGTGCTGTATCTGTTGAGGAGCTCGGCAATCTCGTTGATTCTCTGTACGACTGGGTGAGATTTTGCTGGTTTCGCTTCTTTGGCCACTTCTGGGATGTCCATTGGTGGAGCATCGATAGTTGATCGTGGCCAGTCTTCAGGGTCCTGATTTATCCAATCAGGTCCTGTCCACCAGAGGTGATGATCTGCTAGCTGACATGGTGTTATGCCCCTGGAGGCGCAGTCGGCTGGATTCCCCTTCTCACTGACGTGTCTCCAAGTGGCATTCGGGAGAGTTTCCTGGATTTTTACCACTCTGTTGTGGACGAAGTCTTTCCATCTCGAGGGCGGACTCCTAATCCACGCGAGAGCTACTGCTGAGTCTGACCAAAGGTGAGTTTCTACCTGGTCTAGCTGGAGCATCTGCTGCGTTGATGTTACGAGTTGAGTTAAC